GAATCTGATATGATTAGCAAATGGTTTCCACTCTGATTGAAGATTGTTAAGAAATTTAACATTTATCTCTATTGTGGTTTTAGAAATTCCATTCTTTGTCAGCTCATTAAGTAGTCTGGCAAGCCTATCATAAACATCATCAAGACTTTCACCATCTTTAGCCTTGAACTCTTCATATGCTGATATACAGTTAGTAATTTTTAGTTGAGTTCCCACTTTCGAACCCATCATCATATTTTCAATTTGAACCCACATGCTGTGACCTGATGATTTATGATTGTCAATACTAGTGTAAATATCATTAATCAGTGCTTGCATCATGTAAGACTTGCAAATCACATCAGCATGGGCTCTTTCTCTTTCTTAAGCTAAATATTGATACTTTTCTTTGATTGCTTTCTGAGCAGGTATGCCTTCTTCTAGATCAGCAGGTATCTCTCGGTAGTACACAACAGGACCTTCCAATAAAGATTGCATAATCAGATCTCCTTATTTCATTCTCTCAATGAAATTCAGAAATCTATCTCTCCACTGATTATAATCTCCGCGAAACAGCACTGGTGGCTTGGTAATAGTACCAATAGCCATTGCTTCCCGTGAACTCATATTATCAGTTCGTATGAAATAGGATCGACTGCAGTTCAAAGTTTGAATTAAAGGATCCGTTTACGAAAATATATCTGATAATGTTCAAACAAAAATATGCACTCATTCAACACTTAGAGAAATTAAGCAAACAAACTTATCTGGATTAGAAATCCGGTCAAGCTTATCCGGATTAGAAGTCCGGATAACAAACTTTTCAACAAGTTATCCGGATTAGAAGTCCGGACAACAAAAAAATTTAAATCGCACAGAATCACGTATCAACACTGAATCAAATTTAAACAATTAAGCACAATTATGCGGATTAAGCAAAAATCAATATGGATAAAACACAAAAATCAATTTGAATTAAAATTCTCAAATTGGATGTTTTCAACACTTAGTTAAAATTCCAAAATGAAAATCGGACATAAATAGTCAACAAGTCAAGGTCAACTAAGTCAACAAGTCAAAGTACGAATAAGTCATTTTAAAAACAAATCGATCAAAAGTCAAAGATTTAAATCGATCACAAGTCAAAATCCGTTCAATGTCAATATCAATGTACGATCAATATACAAGTAATAAAGAACTTAATAAGTTGACCATTAAGAACCGATATCCTCTTCCCCGAATCGATGACTTGTTCGATCAACTTCAAGGTGCTACATACTTTTCAAAGATCGATCTACGATCCGGATACCATCAAATGAGGGTCCATGAGGAAGATATTCCTAAGACGGCGTTTAGAACTTGTTATAGTCATTATGAATTTTTAGTCATGCCATTTAGGGTTAACTAACTCGCCAGCAGTTTTCATGGATTTAATGAATAGGGTATGTAGGCCATATCTAGATAATTCGTGATTGTATTCATAGATGACATCCCGATCTATTCGCAAAACAAGGAGGAGCATGAGCAACACTTAAAGTTGATACTTGAACTACTAAGGGATCAGAAATTATATGCCAAGTTCTCCAAATGCGAATTTTGGATTCGTGAGGTGCACTTCCTTGGTCATGTGGTCAATGTGAAAGGAATTCATGTTGATCCGGCCAAAGTTGAGGCTATAAAGA